TTTTGTGAGCAATAGTATTTTTCTTTACCATGCCTCTCACGGGTTTTTAAGGTCGGTTCTGTTATTGAGAGTGCATAATAACAAGATCCTCTTATTTCATGAATGGCACTGAAAACTCATCAGCCCAGATGCAAACTTAAATCCTTTGCCTTACCATTGAGTGTTCTGTGCACACACATACATAGTGATGCCAGAAAAATCTGCCAACATGTAATAGGATCACTATAACAGCAGGGCTGTAAAAGCTTTTCTGAAATGGCCTCCAGATCAGGATTTTCATTAGGTAGACTTTGTGTAGAAATGATTATGCATGGGCTCTTGGTTTTTATAAAGTGCTTTAGAATTTATGCCTCAACTGTCCCCACATCACACCTTTGAAATGGGTTACATGATGTCTTACGATCTGCAGTAAATAGTGTTTTAAAATTATGCCACTGGGAGTCAGCCAGGCTTTTTTCCCCAGATATTCCTCAAGGATAATGAAAAATAATGTTAACATCCCTCCAGAACATGCATCATAATCTCAGGGATGGTTAAAAAAATGACAAAATATAAGTCAATCTGAAACGGAAAGAAGTCTTCATAACTCAAATTTGGTTATTATTGAGGCCCTGTATGTATGTCATGACATAGATTTTGTTCCAGATTCAATGTAAATAATTGAGAATCCACAGGAGGTGTTTTAAGGTAACTGTTCTTCATAATTAAAATTATCATTTTCTTGGGGTAAAGGAGAATGGTCCTCTTTCACCAAGGTGAAAGAATTGAGAAAATTATTTTTATCCCCCATCTGTAAACAAATGAAAGAAATTGTTGTGTGTTCTCTTCCTTAATAGTTTATTCTGTTCTTGAAAGCTGCGTTAGAATTGTTTTTCATCTTTTCATATACTGGAAATATTTTGTCTGTGGAAGCTGCATATATACTTGGATGAAGAGACATGTAGGGAGTTTTGCCCTAGTGTCTTAAAAAATTAGGAGAAAGATGGATGTTTTATAGTAGTGCTCTCTTAATTTAGTTGTGGATTGTCTCTTCACACTTACTGTGCTATGTTTTAGCTGTTTTGATAATGTGTTTGCAATATGTTACAATTTCTGCAGTGTACAACCAGACCCATAATGTCAATAATGCTTACCACATTAAATGATTTCTTAGTCACGTCATCTCTTGTTACTATAGAGGATTTCCTTGGGCTTTTACTTTGGTTGTCATCAACATGTTGACCTTACTTACTAATTAAGCTGCTCATTTTCCCCTGCCTGTGATTGAAACATTTGATGATATTTGCCTAAAGCCACATATCTTGCCAATTGATGTTGCTCTCTAACGCATGTATTTTGGATGTTTTTGCCACATTTAATGATGATTCATATTAATCAGCAGTTGGAAAAAAGAACAGGCTGTTTTGACTGACATATATTTAGTCTGAGGGGAAATGGGCTTAAACGCACCCTCAAATTCTTTGACTGGAATCATCATGCATATTCTTCATTTCTACTTTCAATCATCTTGGTACAGGCTTAGTATAAGAGAATACAGACTCCTAGGAAGGAAGCATAGACTTGCACAAGGGGTGGAAGACTAGAAGTTGTAACTGAAGTCTTTCAGACAGTATTACCGTATATACTCGACTATAAGCCGAGTTTTTCAGCCCTTTTTTCAGGCTGGAAAATCTCCCCTCGGCTTATATTTGGGTCAGGATCCTGGCTGGAGTGTATGGGGCTGAAAGAAGAGCCCTTTCCCCATGCCTTCCCACCAGGATCCTCACCTCTCCTCCTCCCTCGCCCCCTGCGCAATTTTCTCTCCTCCGAACCCGGAGGAGAGCAAGGCCATGGACAAACCCCAAGCCATGGCTCCCTCCTCCGCCAAGGAAACCTCGCACGGAACGAGGGAGGAGGAGAGGAAAAGGCAAGCCTTCCTCAGCAGCGGCAGAGGAGAAGGAGGGAGCCTCAGCGGCAGGCTTTTCCCCGGGTTTGCTCTCCTTATCCCTTGCATGGCCATGGTGGCAGGGGCAGTGGCAGGAGGAGGCAAGGGGGGAAGGTGCGCCCCGTTCGCACCTTCCTCGGCAGCAGTGGTAAAGGTGCGCACAGGGCATGGGAGGAGAGAAAGGCATGCACCTTTCTCTTCTCCCTTGTGTGTCTTTCCTGCCTCCACCGCTGAGGAAAGTGCGCATGGCCAGAGAGGAAGGGGAGTGGTGCCCGCCTTCCCCTCGCCCCATGCGCTTTTTTGCCTCCTCCCGCTGCTGCCCCTACCAACACAGCCGCGCATGGGATGAGGGAGAAGGAGAGCAAGCCTGCGGAAAAGCCTGCTGCTGGGGCTCCCTCCTCCTCTGCCGCTGCTGAGGAAAGCTCGTGCACCGCAAGGGGGGAGGAGGGAAAGACAGAAGGAACTCGTTGGCCCTTGGGGTCTCTTACAACCTTCTTCATTAGAATTCTTGTTATTATTGCTACTATTATTGAGACTGGGTGGCCATCTGTCAAGGGTGCTTTGTGCTTCTGCTGCATGAAGGTAGAAGAGTTGGATTAGATAGCCCTTCCAAGTCTTTATTGATATTAATGTTATTGTTGTTGTTGTTGTTGTTGTTATGAGGCTAGGTGTCCATCTGCCAGGAGTGCTTTGATTGTGCTTCAGCTGCATGAAGGCCGGAGGGGGTTGGACTAGATGGCCCTTGGGATCTTTTCCAACTCTTTGTTAGTATTAATATTGTTAGTGTTAGTATTAATATTGTTGTTGTTATTCTTATTATTGTTGAGGCTGGGTGGCCATCTGTCAGGGGTGCTTTGGTTGTGCTTCAGCTGCATAAAGGCAGAAGGTGGTTGGACTAGATGGTCTTTAGAGGTCTCTTCCAACACTATTACTATTATTGTTGTTATTATTATTAAGGATGGATTGCCATCTGTTGGGGGTGCTATATAATAACAACAACTTTATTTTTATACCCCGCCACTATCTCCCCGAAGGGACTCGAGGCAACATACAAGAGGACAAGCCCGGAAATACAGATTAAAACACACACAATAAAAATAAAATGAACAACAAACATCAGGGGGAAAAAATCACAATCACAATACACATTTTTATTGTGCTTTCCCTGCATGAAGGTAGAATGAACGGGGTTGAACTAGACGGCCTTTAGAGGTCCCTTCCAACTCTAGGATTCTATGAAAGGAGTCGTAGTCTACCATGAGGGGGACATGATCCAACAAGTGTGATGCTATAGCTGAAAAGGCCAATGCCATTCTAGGCTGCATCAATAGGAGAAGCCTGACAGAAGGCGAAAGGAAACTGATATGATCAGGGCTGTAGCCAGAAAAAAATGTCGGGAGGGGTTAAAATTTTCGGGGGGGGGGGGGTTGAAACCTGCCTCCTAGCTCACGCTGAAGCAAAGAGCACAGCAGGGGGCAGAGCAGCCTTCAGTAGCCTGCAGCTCTGCCCCTGTCAACCACCTCCACCAAGTCTGGCCTCCTTAATGAGAGCATTCAACACACACACACCCAACTTGGTTGCTTCACTACATCGGCTATTGCTGCAAGTAATGACAGTGTGAATAAATTGTCAATATTTGCTTGAGATAGTGCTTACAGTTCTGGAGGGACTCTTAATTTTCTCATAGACTTAGCATGGGGATTTGGTTAACCAGTTAAAATTCATGAGTAAACCAGTTTTTTAAAAAAAATCTTAAACATTTCGGAGGGGGAGGTTGAACCGCTAAACCCCCCGCCCCCTCACTACAGGCCTGGATATGATACTTTACCTCGGCTGTTTTATACATTTTCTTTTAATGATAATTATTTAATGCAACTGTTTATTTTAATGTATTGTACAATGTTTAGTATTGCCTTTTTTGATTAGAATTTTTATGGTTTTCTGTTTATATAGGCATTGAATGTTTGCCTGTTATTATGTTGGAAGCCGCCCTGAGTCCCCATGCGGGGATAGGGTGGGATATAAATGAAGTTTTATTATTATTATAAAATTATTGTTGATACCATATTGTTTTTTGTTGACCCTCCTTTTGCACTTAAAGAGCTAGTTTAATATTTTTCTTTGAAATATGGCAAATATTCAAAAACATTTCACCTACTGATGCCTCAATTAATGTAATTTATTGATATCTAATTTTAGTTTTAAAATTGACCAGTAGCGGCTGCATTTCTCACCCTTGGCTTATACTCAAATCAATAAGATTTTCCAGTTTTTTTTGTGGTAAAATTAGGTGCCTCGGCTTATATTCAGGTCGGCTTATACTCGAGTAGATATGACACCTCTTTATCATCTTGTTTGGCTTTCTAATATTTATTGAAAATTAATCACATGTATATGTGTGCTTTTCATTTTCCAAATTCTTATATAACTTTTTAGGTACTATAGAAATTGTTCTAAAAGAGGCCATACATCGTGACATCAGCACTGCTATGCCGATTGCTAGGTCTCTGGAACTTTCCTCCTGTAAGGATGAGCATCTCTTCTCATAAACTTCAGAAACCATGTAAATGTGCATCAAAAGTAGCAGTGTTTTCCGTCACTTTGTGATAGTAGATTGCATGGGGTCCTCTAGTTGGGATATTCTAAATCTAAACTATCTAGTTATGGAATAATTGTTCCTGGGGTGAGTCTAGGAGGGGAAAGCTCCAGTTAATATCCTGCATCCTTATACTAAGTTATTGGAATTTTTTCAGGGAATAATGAATAAGATTAGAAATAATTGTTAATGTGGTTTAAGAATAATGAAGCAAGCAGTCATGCCCTCTTGAGGACAAGGGACTTGGTATGTGTTGGAGTTAGTGTATACCATTTGTAAGGATGGCAGAACCATACTTGTTTACAGTGACAATTTGGTTACATGCATTTAAGGCTCTGAACTGCGTGAAATAAAACTTGGACACTTCATTTCCTAATTAGGCATATAATATTTTTTCCTTCGCAAGGATGCTAAGGCTGTGTTTGTGTGTATATATGTGTATAAACTATTGTTTCTTTTCTTTCTGCTCTCATTGCACAGCTCGAATTGGGAAAATGAAACGGAGGAAGCAAGACGAAGGACAGGTATGTCCCCTCTGCAGCCAGCCTCTCTCAGGATCCGAGGAGGAGAGGAGTGGGCATGTCGAACAATGCCTTGCAAAGGTAGAAGCACTGAAAGATCTTTGCTGCTTCTCACTTCTTTCTCCCTGCCCTCTGCTATGCCTGCTTTCTGGACAGAAACCAAGTTAGCAGATTGAAGGATACAGGCTTGAATGCCTATTTCATACTTCCTTTCTGTCTTAAAGACTTTGGTCTGTCTCAATTATGGCAATAGGATTTTTCTAACCTTTCAGATGAGAATGGGGAGTAGGGTCTCAGCTCTTGCTAGGTAGTGATTTATCAATACTGCAGCAAAATTCAGTTGAGACCTGGATTGAAGAGGAATTGGCCAGGAAAGTGAAGGCCAGCCATTCTTAGTTCAAGATAAAACATGTTGACATATACCATATTTACTCAAGTCTAATGCTCACTCTTTTGGGCTAAATTACCATATTTACTCAAGTCTAATGCACCATCAAATGTAATGCACACCTGCATTTTGAAGGTGTACATTACAAAAAATGGAATTGCCCTCAAACGTAATGTGCACAACAGTTCATGTTCTAACAGTGTGCTTCTAGTCTTTGTATCAGGGAATGATTTGGGATAATATATAAATAAAGTCCTATTGGATCTTATAGCAAACTTCTGATGCTGATAACCAGGGACTGCTGTTTAGGCAACTGAAAAGTACTGCTGGTATGACTGTAATTGCTATAGCTATGTTGCCTGTATTATTGGGCATACATAGCACTAGAGTGACAGGCTATTAATGTGTTGCTGTTAGGAAGAAAACGGTGTCTGTTCCCCTTCTAGTAGTAGCTTGACTTTTTCGCTTTCTTAAACTTATAGTTCTTTGCTAAAATAGAGGAGTGATGAAAGAACTTAGTTCCTTGCCTACCATTCTGAGTTACACACTACAGCTTTAACTACACAGTGGGATGTTGAAAATGGGCCAAGAAATCCTAAATTCATTTACTTGTCTTGATTATAAAGTCAGTAATGATGCAAAATGATGTCAAGCCCCAGTTTCAGATTAGCACTTTAAATGCAGCAATGAATGGGAAGGGGGATAATTGTCCCTGCAATGTCCTCCACCATTCACTTGATCTTTACAGTTTTCACTGACAGAAATACTACCTGTTAGCATCATTCTTCTATGCAAGAACATGAGATGATGCTTGATTTTTCATTTTCTTTGGTTACCCAGAGGGAAGGTTCATGCATGATGGAAGATGACTCTGTTGACATTGAAAATGAGAATGGTAATCGCTTTGAAGAATATGAATGGTGTGGACAGAAGAGGATACGTGCGACTACCCTCTTAGAAGGAGGTTTCAGAGGTAAGAGGGCCAATGTAGGGTATTGCTGAGATGGGCTGTAGACTGAATAAAACCCCAATCCAGTTTTTATCACTGGTTGGTACATATGAACATAAAACGTTAATCTTCAGTAGCAATCCTGTCCTCCAACCTGTAGTTTAGACTAATGGCTGCTTCCCACACTACATTTTGTACACTCTTACAGGTCATCCCTATGACACACGCATATTCATAATGATGTACACACATACCTGTTCATGATGGCTAATGAGCAGCTTGGCACAGATGTCAAACTCTCAAGGGAAACACAGATATAAATCTATCCAAAGAATTGTTCTTCATAATAGTATTTGTGTGTAGTATACATTCGTGAACAAGAATGTTTATTGCTTGTCTCCTGCAAATGGATTTTCTACCAGAAGTTATGTGTGCACAGAATAATCACATCCTACAAAACAGATTTAGCATAGTTCTTCCTGTAAAATTCCCTTTGTAGCTCTTCACTATTAGATTGCTTTGGGAAGGCTCTTTGGTACTTTGGTTATTTCAGGTTAGTTGAGGTGTTATTATAATGTTGTTGTTTGGCAGACTAGTTGCTTACCTATGACTGTAGGTGGAAATTTACATTTTTGCCAATTCCAAAATGTATTTTCCTGTGAAATCAAATAAAACTGTAGAAGTTATGAACAAACTGCTGCTTCAATTAACACTAGGAGAATGCCCCCCCAAAGTTGAAGAGAGCAGAAGAAGCCGCAGGCCAGTCAGTTTCAGCAAGTTGAGTCTTTAAAAAAAAATAGAAATGGAGAATGAAATTGTAAAAAGTCTCAGTCTGGAGTGACGAAAGCTGGTTTATCAGCAGCTGGTGATGTATGGAAGTTGACAGCTAAGTCACTTTAGCACCTGCATAAAATATTAAAGGGCCGGTTATACATTTATCACTCCATCTTTTTTAAGGCTGATAAATGAGAATTCAGCAACCTGCCATACACCTCCAGCACTGCCGCCCTGAGGGCTCCCAGACAAACACATCTTATTTTTCCTCCTCTTATTCCTTCCCCTGTGACAGGAAAAATGGCTAAAAAGAAGAGAATGAGTTATGGCAAAATGTGACCTTTGTGAGTTTTATTGGTGAATGTAATTTTAGCTGTGCATCTGGCTCCTTTCTTACAGTCAGCCTTTTGCTCTTTTGGTCTGTGTCAGGATTGACTAAACTGGGTAGTGTGGCCTTATGATCCCTTGGAAACAGCATTCCTTGCACAGGGAAGCCGGTGCACTGCCCCATTAAAGTAAAAACAATTATCCTGCTATGCATAACTGCTAACTAGTACTTCCCCCAGATTTTAATTTGCAGTTTCCCAGAAAAAATCCAATTTGAACTTTTAAGAGCCTTAAAAGTTCACTTAGTTTTTAAATGAGGATCCCCTTTTCCTATTTCCCCTGTACTTTTCTCTGTGGATAATTTTGTTATAAAAGCAAAATGAATAGTGATCAAGAGCTGGACATGACAGATACCTCAGTAGTTCAGCTATAAGGCGAAAGTGTGTTTATTAGATACCAGTAAATACCTGCTTTCTGAAATGCATGCCTTCTAGCAGGCAACACCAAAACAGTTTTGGCATTTTTTCAATTACAGTCTTTAGGGCCTTTGTCTGCTTTTGTGGTATCAGTGTTATTTATTCCAAGTTCTAATTTGATGTTTTGTTTTGGGCATTTTGTTTCTCACCTGTGCAGTACCTTGTAAATTCTTGTAAATCTTTACCTGGAATCCTTTGTAAGTTTAAAGAGATTCCTGCATCTGAAGCTTTAGTTAATGGTTCTTCTTTAAAGAATTGGTTGCTTGGGAGAGGCCCTGCTTTTCGTATTTCTTCGGAATTTTTGAATGGCTGGGGATTGACTTGTTTGTTTTCTGCTTGTTAGGTGTGAGAAGAAAAGTATAATTACAGTATTCATAGTCAGCCAGGCATGTCTTTACTTTAATGCACAGCTCTCACCTGATGTTTGTTATTTTGTTGTGTTGTAAGTATCATGTTGTAGGTTCCAAGGGTAAAAAATACACATCTCTAGAATGTAGGTGTAGCATCTTTAACTTAGTGGACAAGAGTTTCCTGCAATTGATCTTGTTAAATTAAGGAAGCTAAGTTGTGCCTGTTTTATTGCTCAAGTAGAAATACAGATACTAACAAGAAGATACATTTTCTATGCAATTTTGCATCCTTTCTTGAAATATTTTGTAGTACTCCATGTTTAATTTGATAGGGATTTTTAGTGTTGATTCTGATACATTCTTTTGCAAGTTGTATTCTTGAGATTAGGAATTTTTAATCATGTTTTTCTTTTTTATCTGTGACTTCTTTTTTATACATGTCTGCATTGTGATTTTGTTCGTGTGTACCAATAAAGGCTATTGTTGTGGTAGTGTTTGGTCGCCTAAGAATACATTTGAATAGGTGTAAAAAAAAAACCCTTAAATTCCTGTCTCTCATATATTCCTTGCAATATTTTTCTGATCTGAGTATTTACTGTCTAATTTTTGTCCCATGATCTTTCTAAACTGTGGAGTAGTGGTTGAATAGATCTATTTTATACCCCATCAGCAGCTTATTACTTTGCATTGACAATTTGGGTGGTTTGGCAGCTGGAAATCCTCCACTTCTTTAAAACAAAGCATGCATCTCACTTTACAAGAGAATCATACTTCAAGAAGTATAGTTCTTCTTTAAAACAAAGTGCATATTCCTTATGTACCTTTAGAATGAAAGAGAATACACTTGAGAGATAAGCAAGATGTGTGTATGCATGTCTTCAAGTCACCTGCCTATCTGTGGTAATCCCATGAATTTCATAGGATTTTCTTAGGCAGTGAATACTGCCAAGGAATATTAGGTGCTATTGCCTATGTTTCAGGGAAAGGCAATCCTTGCCATTGCCTTTCCCTGAAACATAGGCAATAGCACCTAATATTCCTTGGTGCCCCCTATCAAAGTACTAACTAGAGATATCCCTGCAGATTGGATGGTATATGGAACATTTTAGGGTATTTACACCAACGATTTATACACTGGCTTCAATCCATGGATTAATCTCAGCTGAACTGGCCCTATTAAATTAGTGAAATTTTATGTTTTCACTGAGCGGTCCAATTGTGACCAGGAATTAATTTTAGGTTTACACAAACATCATCTCCAATGAGAGTCATGCCCTAACATGGCTTGCACAGGAAAAAAGTGACACTAGGACAGAATCCAAGCTAGGACAGGATGAAAAAAGATTGAAGTGCTTAACCTAGTGTTTGTTATAGATTCTTGAAAACTTACAGTAATTGGCATAAAACATCAGTGAGAACTGTTGTGAAATCTTTCATTTGTCTTGGATATAAATGAAACAAATAAATATAAGTGTTATGCTTTAAAATACCATGGTGTAAATAAAGCAGGAGATTTAAAGATCTAGCCTGTTCAACTGTTGCTTACCCAGCAGCTCTGAAATGAAGCATCTTAGAGTTGGTGATAAACTACAGCAGCAACAGATATCAATGCTGGAAGATGCAAATTTATTCTGTAGTATGTTGAAAGTTTTCTGAAAACTCCCAACAGTGGGAATAGGCATGTTGGGCATCTATATTGGCTAAACATTGTGGAGGATTATTCTTTTTGTGTCTGATGCTCCAAGTTGTATTCTACTTGCTGCTCTGAGGTCAGAGGTCTTAAACATTTTTTTTCTCATAGACTTTTTTCCTTAAAAAATTCCTGCATTTGGAGCCGTTCTTCAGTTCTCAAAAATCATTGCTCATTTTCTCTAGCTGTTTACATTGTAAGGTTATCCCTTTAAAGAATTGCCGAAAGAAGTTCAAAAATGCTTTTTTCCCTTTGAAAGCTTAGCATTTTTTGTGAAAACGTGACTTCAACTTGAAAGAGTGAGCGGGTGGGAGGGAGGGAGGGAGCGTGGGTGAGGAAAAAGTGCTTTATCCGAAAAGAATCATATTGGCTTTGTGCTGATAGAGGCTGCTGTCATCTCTTAAACGGCTTAGCACAGTCAAAAGGCGAGCAGACTTAAAACAGTGTCTTACATGAGGATCGATGGAGGAAACACGGCAGTGGTAACTGTGAGGAAAAAAGGGTGAATGCAACAGAGATAACAATAATGATTGCATGGAGGGGAGCTGGAGGCAGGCTCGTTCTTTGTAGTAACATAGCTTCAAAGGCACCTGAGCCGTCTGGTCCCCAGGTTTTTGCTGCCTGTGTGTATCTAGGGAGAGAGCCCAATCCCCCCTCCTTTTTGTTGGAGCAAATGGGCTAAGTAGATTAAGGCATGATAGGTTATCTCTTTCCTCTGTGTTATATCGCTTTTAGAAGAGTTTTGGTCAATCAGCATCTTGTGTCATTCCTTTAGCTAAAGGAGGTGTTAGTAAAGGTGGGGGAGTTGGGATTGTGGAGGGAGGGATGGAGCCATTGGAAAAGGGGGAGGTGGTATGTCAGTTTATCGATCGCACCTCAGCCAGGAGAGCTGCAGGCACAGCTCCGTGGGCACGAGCGGCAGCACTCCTAATGTGATTGAAAGGCAGTTAAAATGGCGGTGACCTTTTCAGGGGGAATTAGATTGCCTGCCAAGAGTGGTTAGAGGGAGTGATAACGCCAGCTTGAGGAAGCTGTCCAGGCAACTTCAAAGCGAGAGAGACAGGCAAGCGAACAAACGGCAAGTCCCATTGAATATCTGAGCTGTGTTGTCTCATAGAGCCAAGATTGCTGTTCTCTCCAGATATGAAAGGGTTGAAAAACGGTGGTCAAGTTACCTCTTTGTCTTCTCTTGTACTATAACTTCTGTCAAGTATAGCAACAGCTGATCAGCTGTATATTCACTTGACACCCTGGAGGATTTAAGGTCGCCTTGAAAACCGTGAACAGTCATTAAGATGCTATGCCAGGCTTTCTAAGAAACTCAAGATAAACTTGATGGCCAATTCTGATTTTAGAAATATTTTCTTTAATCAGAATCGCAGTATAAACTCGCAGTGTGGAGCCAGAAGGTACTGATGTCCCTGCCAAAAGAGTGTGCCTGTACTGACTACTGTTTTGCCTTTCTTCTGGCAAGACTAACAAAGAGCAGGGAATTCAAAGACCTATATAGCCATGTAAGTCTGGAATATCAGTATGCAAAGGGACATTGTAGCACTTTGATACTAACCGAGAGAAATAAGTTTGTATTATAAGCTTTTGTAGACAGAGTCTACTTCATCAGATGCATGGAGTGAAGTGCTACAAACTTCTTTTTACAATATCCCTTTGCAAACAGCAGGAGAAGTTCCTAAATACAATAGACTCTGTTAACCAGCTCCCATGGGGATTGGTAGATGCTGGATAAATGTAGTTGCTCGAGAGTTACTTTTAGAAATAGGCCTAAGTAATACTATACCCCATACTATACTATACCATACCATAAACTAACTAATACTATTCACCATACTATACCATATCTTATGCTCTGTATTGACTTGATATTAAAATTGAAACACGGTAATTAAAAACAAATAAAGATAAATTTAACGTAATGCTACATTTCTGCTAAAATGTATTTAATTTTAATTTTAACCATTATTTCTCTAACCAGTTCCTTGAGAGTTCTAGGTACTTGAATTCCTGTTCTGTATAGCCTTCCAGTTCAGGCCATTTCTATATGCAGAATATGAGATGCTGATAAACAAGGGGAGGGGGATTCATGTCTTTTTGCCTTGCTATCTAGTTTCAGGGAAACATGTAACTGGCTTCTGTAGAAAAACAGGTTGCTAAATGGTCTATAGGCCTGATCTTGTAGGCTCCTTTTCATTTGATAACTCAAGGACCAGCTCAGGGTCCTAATTTCCTGTCATTGCATTGTAGTTTGTGTGTATTAATGGTATCTGCACATGTTATCACCGTTTGAAGAAAAAAAACACACACACTGATTAAAAATACAAATTGCTGGCATATCCAGCAGATTGTTTTTGTTTCCCTTTTGGCTAGCAGCCTGTTTGTCTGTACAGCTTTTTGCTGTAAGTGCTTATACCATAGCCATTTTTCTATAAAATAAACTGTGAAAGCGGTATCACCAACAAGAGCAACTATACTTTTATGTATGTGGAACCTCAGTGCCCCATAAATTCTTAGCCAGAAGAGACAGATCCCTGTCCTTATAGTTGAGGAAACAAAGATAAAACTTAAAGTGTGCTAGCATTCAGTAATGTGGAGGTCAGTGGAAACAGTAACCTTGTCATGCTAGTATAGAAACACATTGTCTTCCTTTTCTCACTCTACTTGATCTGGTTATCTTCAGAAGTATTGTGCTTCTAGAAAAATGTGGATGTCATAATAGTTGTTTTGCTGAGAATCATGAACTATACAGATCAGTGACATGCCACTTGTGGAATTATTAGCTATATATTCTGGGGTTCATCCCTGGAGCACAAGAAGAAAGATGCTTTTCTTTAAGATAGTTACGAACCTAATACTCTTAAGCCTTTTTGTCAACTGCTTTGTATTGAGGTTGCATTTAAGATCATATCAAAGAGAAGTGGGAGTAATGCAAGAGGCAATCAGGACTCCCATATAACCAGGAGACAAGTCTGTGCAGTTTATTGGTACAGACAAATAAGTAACTAACGTTAATTTTTTTGTAAATCTGAATGGGCTTGATAAAAGGAAATGACATTGAATGAATTTAAGGAGAGAGTAAAGCTACCTATAAGAGTGCCATCCTCCCATTACATGGATATAACTTTAACACATTTTTACTTTTTTCTCCTTTTCAACAAAATAAATATTCTTAGAGTAGTCTGTTCCTACTGTATTGTAACTTTCTATTAAACTGTTCAATTTCATTTTTCCTAAGTTATATACTTGAAAAACAAGTATTTTATTGATAAAACAGCCAATAAAAACACTTACAACAGCTAAAATAATATGCATGACACTCTGGATGTCAGTTCTTGTGGATCTCTAAATCTTGATATTTCTGTATATGTGGATACACAATGCCTGCTTACCTTGTTCATTTTTTGTCTGACGTGTGTGTTAAGAGCATTACAAGCAGACAGACAGTGATTTGAAGCAATATGTCTGTCAAGTAATTAACTCTGGTTTAGCCCATAGGCAAAACTAACTTGAAAATAACGTATCATATTTACCTGGCAGGGGAGGTACCATGAGCACAAAGATGTTTTTCCCAGGGTATGGCTTCTTCTTTGCAAACCAGATGATCCTCACTATTTCTCCGAATGCAAGAAACTTAACTGCACAGTTTGTAGCAGTAGTGGACGATGAATTCATTTTCTCTACATATACAGGGTTAGTCAAAATGAATAGGCCAATAAGAAAATTAATTTTAGACGAATGTATGTTTACTGTAACCAAACCACAGCTACGTAGCGACAGATAAACTATCAAAGTTTTTTTTGAGCAACACACATGTACGTTAATGCCGCTAGGCGTCGCTAGGGGTCGCTGTTTCAAAATGGCGGAATCAAGCAAAGAGAAGGCGTTTTGTGTGATGACATTTGCTAAAACAATGTCAGTAATTACGGTCCAGCGAGAATTTCAAGGGTTAGGGTTAGGGATAGGGTTAGGGTTAGGGTTAGGGTGTAGGGTTAGGGTTAGGGTTAGGGTTAGGGTTAGGGTTAGGGTTAGGACCTCAACGAACACCTTCCCAGACGTTGCTGCATTCGATGCCATTACGTCGGATGTGCTGCAACGGATGTGGAATGAACTGGACTATCGCTTGGACATCTGCCGTGTCACACGGAGCGCCCATATCGAACATCTCTGAAGGTGAGACAAAACTTTGATAGTTTATCTGTCGCTACGTAGCTGTAGTTTGGTTACAATAAACATACATTCGTCTAAAATTAATTTTCTTATTGGCCTATTCATTTTGACTAACCCTGTATTTTAAAAACAAAGCCTAGTTTTTTCTAGTTTTGTTTGTTTTGGAGTCAACAAATTACTACTGTGTTCTAGCTTGGAAATGAGGAGACTTTGGCCTACCAGAGACTTTGTCGAGATCCCAGTCTCAAAGCCATTCATTTGATTATTTTTTTCAAGTTCAGGGCTTTGAGGTACCCTTCAGTCTCAACTGCCAGTGTGTTGATTGACATCATTTTAATAGTATTTTTAAATACAGTTGTTAAGAAGAGGCAACGTTTGGTTCTTTCACCCCATGATCTAACAGAGTGCAGGTTTGGTTTCTCAATGACTTTAAGCCATTCCTTGTCTTTGCATGTCGTCCCCTCGCACCAGGTGGTGAAATGCATTATCAGGTAGTGCCTAGAAAGTAGTTAACTGCGTTTGACATACGCCAACTCCCTGCCTCTACACTGGATAATTGCATTGTCAACTATTCAGCAAAGTGGCAGGTGACACTGTTGCCAGATTGATTGTCTTAGCATTGAGGCTCTTAAGACTGTCAGCTGCCCAATCGATAGCGTTTACACAAGACACTGTGACTGCATCTGTAACTAATTTCAGTTTGAAACTGGCAAAGACACTGTGCTGCCCCTTTTTTCTTACTCTGTGTGTTGCGTGTCTTGCTTCCGGTCCTTGTGCTGCTGAGTTGATCTGGCTCCATCCCACTCCCACATCACTGTCCTAGTGCTTTGGGAAGTGTATCTCTGTTTTATATTGGTGGAGCAGGCGAAGAAGTCAGTAGTGTGTGTTGCAGCTTCAGAAAATAAGTATTGCTGAAGATGGCTAACAAGGAGCTCTAGTTTTGCAATCAATAGTCTGATCAATTTATTAAATTAACACTGATTTTCTTTCACCTTCCTGCTATGGATTAGAATTAGTTTACAGGGAGCAGGCAGGTTTGGTTTATGAATTTTAGATGTCTTTATTCTATCCCATGACACGGTGTATCAAAAGTTTACTGTTGACATTTAAGTAAGTGGATAGCAAGACTTGCTGCTTCCCATGGCACCTGTAAACCAGGGTGGTGCTCTTGGTCCCTTTCCCAAGTTGCTGGTTTATGCTCTGCTGCTATAGAAAAGTCATCCTCTCAGCTTTTCTCCTTCCTCTGTTATTGGCAGAACAGCTGTGTGACTGTGATCCCTGACAGTGGTGCTTATTGATCCATTGATGTGAACCTGTTTAGTAATTCAAGATTATTTAAATTCCTCCCCTTTCCTTTTTTTGTTTTCATTCCCTCCCCTTGGGGACAATGAGCCACCTTCATGGAAATTACACCAGTGACTGCTAAGTCTGTGCTTGTTTATTTCCCCTTCTGATGTAGCAGCCTTCCCTAAATAAGAACACAAATGCCTGCTAAACATTAGACTTCAGTGGTATTGGAAAGATTGCCATGGCAGCATGGAGAGAGGAAATGTTTTCAAGTTGTATCCGAGGTACAGTAGAGATACAAAAGGAATTTGTTTGATGCTTTTATTCAAATTTTGAGGTCCTGTTTACGGGAGAGAAAAGACTTTTGCAGGCAAATATTTTGTATGGCATATGTTTGATGGTGTTCACATTGACATACATTGATACCCCAATATATTAATAGCCATAGAATTATACAGCCCCTTTTAAAGCTACTGTTCTAGTCTGTTGATAAAGTTGACTAAAAGCAACCAGGATGCAGACTTCCAGCCTATATTCTGTCTGCCTTCTTGTGGAATGAAATATGAAATATGACTTTGGAATGTTATCTCTGCTATAGTAGTCCATGTGCATAGCCTTGTTTACCTCATCATTTATAGTACAACATAACAATAGAATGTTGCAATTTAATTAATTTCTGCAGGTTCTGGCAATCAAGGACTTAACTTGACACATTTAAAGGGAAGCCACATCTGTGCCACTTTGTTCTCTTGGTACTAATTCAGGGATATTTCAGCAGCTGAGGAAACAAGTGCTACCAAAAGTTGTTCTCTCCCCTCCCACTTTTGGGGGAGAAAGTTGAATAATAATAATAATAATAATAATAATAATAATAATAATAATAATAATGAGGCCTGACAACATGGAAACATTTTTTGGTGGTTATTCCTTTTGTAGAAGACTTTAAGAAAAACAGGTGAATCAGCTAGGGGCTGGTATGAGGAAACAAATTAGTGAAACCTGCTTTAAGAAAACAGTTTAGGAGTTGAGACTATTTTTCTACCAAATCTATCTAAATTACCCACAAGCACTATAAACACATTTTATTTCTGCCTGTTATGATTTTGATCGTGGCTGTGCAACAGAGGAGAAGTAGAAATGAATTCAGTCTGTATTCTAAACATTTTTGTTTACTGTATATATTCGGCTATAAGTTGATTTAGTGGATTAAGTAAAGGCATGTTTTGAGTCCACAATACAGAATTTGCCATGAGTCAAAGAAAAGTTGAGGATAAAACTTAAGGGCATGTAACAAAGGATGTAAAGGATAAAGCAAGGAGAAAAATGCCAAAGAACTTCAAAAATTCCAGAAGACATAACCATTCATGTTTATCCTAAAAGCTGGAAGAATTTACTTGTGGCTGTGTGGGAGGCTCACTTTGGACCACTCACATCATGCACTTCCTGCAAAGTGAGCTGAGAATAAAAGGTACCATGCCCAGAGTTGGGCTGTGGAGGGACTTTGAGGGAACAGACTTTCAAAAAGCAATCCAGCAAATTCCTCACAGCTTGAGGCATGCAGAAGCTGGTTGTCTCAAACCAAGAGTAGTTTGTTGGGTTGCTTTTCGGCTGTCAACATCCTTGACATACACACACCCAGTCTAGTGCAGTTGCTCTGGGTGGTTTTTAAGCCCCCCCCCCTTTTTTTTAAAGACCCATATAGAAACCAGCACTGACACATGGATAAGTTGACCCAGGTTTTCAAGGTAAATTTTTAGTCTAAAATTTCTTGGCTTATAGTCAAGTATTTATGATAGTTTTTAAAAAGGAAGGTAAGAGTTATAGACAGAGGATTCCATGCACACACACACAAAATAATGATGATGATAACTTTATTGTTATACCACCGCCTCCATCTCCCCGGAGGGACTTGGGGCGGCTTATAAAGGGACAAGCACAGAGAGCACAGAATTAAAACAAAATGCAATAAAATAAAAACAAAACACAACCAAATAGAAACATATCGCAGTAAAACATAACATCATGAAAACAGTACCATAGGTGGCCACTGCAGCAATCCGGGGGGGGGGGCAGTAATGGCCACAGGTGCATTTGGGTTTGATGAATGACTGTAAGGGGGCGGTGAAATCAAAAAGAAAGAGGAGAAGATTTAGAACAGTTGATTTCCAGGGGGTAGGCCAAATACGTTTGGGAACCACTGTGATAACAGATCACTTCCCCCAGCCTCAGTTGGGCAGCAGTTGAGTGAAAGATGGAGACTCTCTCCCAGTCACTACAAGCATTGTTTCCAAGTGATCAGTGGGTTACATTTAAGTGGTCAACTGCAGCTTTAAAATATAAGGTTTTGAACTCTTGGGTGGTTTCAGGTTTCCACAATGTGTGGTGTTTGACCATATTCTCTGTGAATAGGAGTCTTACTATGACAATGGGAAAAAAATAGTTAATCTTTCAGTCAGGTGGTGAAACTGAAGTTGCTGTATTCTTTAACTTGACAATCACTTCACCCTGCTATTGAGAGGAAAAATAGGCAAATTGCCATTCCTATTAATAAACACTGTATATAAAGACATTCTGTTCTTTAACTGCTTTAATTTTGCTGTTCACTTTTTACTACCTCATTTGAAGATACAGTTGATACTCTGTTGTTATTATAAGAGGGCTGGCAATAGTGAAGTAAATGGCTGTGCAAATGCCTTTTTTTCAAAAAAGAAACAGTTTATGTCTGGCCTTTTCGTTATGTAACATTTCCAAGCTGAATCCCTGGTTTTTGTGCTCTCCTCTGAGCAGAATTGAGTCATACATTTATTACCTGGCCCCAGTCATGCAAGAAACTATATAATTTTCACTGCACTAGTAGGATTTGAGTCAACCTAAATAATTTGTTATCAAACTATTGGAGAAGTAGACTTGAATTTTTATATTTTTATGGAGCATTGTAAATGAGTGTGGCTAAGGGCTTTTAAACAGCTTGAGATAATTCAAGGAAGTTTTTAAAAGAATAATAGGGAATGCTTCGCTAGTCTTCATTGCAACTCCCAGTTCCTGGCAATGTTACTTTGGTGTTGAATAATTTCCTCCTTACTGCTTTGGTGTCATGAGAAATAGCACACCAAATGTTACGGAATTAGTAGGACCATTGCAAGAGCTATCCATTTGTCTCTTTTTAAAAAGAGATGTGGACTGTAGATTTCACAAGAGAGAATACATATTCTTTAGGCATTAAAAAGTATTTAAAGGGCAAAAGATATATAGTGGGGAAGGAAGAAGCTAGCAACTCACTCTGTAGCATTTCTAAAATCGGTTTCCACTTGTAAAAAAATACTTTAGAGTTCAATTGTGGGATTTTCTGAGAGGGTGGTAATTGAAATCATGGACATTTCTGGGCATAAGGACTCCCCACTACAACAGTGCTGTTGAAATTTCTAGCAGGTTTTTTTTATCATTTACTATCACCTGAACAACAACATCCATTGTTCCCTAAATTATAGTTGACTTATGATGGAAAGGAAATTTGTGCATTGTAGACAACAACAACAACAAGAAGAAATGAACTTTTTTCCTTTTCAGAAAACCTAGTGGTTAGACAGACCACAAGAGACTTATATGTCTTCATCATCTTTTTAATTAGATGATTAATTAATGTTTTAATTCAGGTGTTCAACTGATCACCATCATATTCCATAACAGTTAGTGCCACAGACTAGTGGTTTCTTTCTGTTTAGCTCTAAATGAATTTCATGTAAACATGATGTAACAGTTTACTAGAAGATATGTCAGTGTTTTCTATTAGATTTTTTGAAGCTGCTTAATTATACTAACACTTGAGTCATGCAATATGTTCTACCCACATTAAGCATTATAGGGATAGGTGTTAGCTGGAAAAAAGTTCCTTAGAAGAAATTAAGTATGAACATAAAAAGCTATTTTATATGGAATCTAATTATTGCTCCATCTAGCCCAGTATGGTTAACTGACTGACAGCAGGAGCTCACTGGGGTTTCTGGTAGGATTATTTCCTAGTTCTACCTGCCTCTCATTTAGCGACTAACCAAATACTGACCCTGTTTAACTTCCAAAATCCGATGAGGTCAGGCCTGTAAAAAGTGTTATTCTATTGAAGGTGGTACAGTCTAGAACCGTGATGGTGAACCTATGACACGTGTGTCAGCACTGACACACATGGTTATTTTTGATGACACGCGGCCACATGCGGCCTCATACAGAGAAGTACACCTTATAAGAGCCAAGCTAATTCCATCCTTAAATTTGTAAAAGGCTCTACAAATTTAACATCTGCATGTTTGAGTACTGTTCATTCCATAACTCAGCATGGAATATACATTTTTCTTATTTAAACTATAAATATTGCAAAATTACAGTTTTTTTCTCAAAGTGACACTCTACCCAAGTTATGCTCAGGTTTTTGGCAAATTTTGACACACCAAGCTCAAAAGGTTGCCCATCACTGGTCTAGAATAAACCATTTTCAGTGTGAATGTTAGCTAGGTCTAGAATTGTATATTATGTGCAGATTAAAGCTGGCCTGCTGCACCTCTGAGATTGGCCTCATTGCTCTTTGCAAGCTTTTGTACTCATATCTCAGCAAGAATGTTTCTTGTTCCGAACTCCTAGAATGTTCAGCATTAACTCGATTTTGGCGCTGGGGCCAGCTGCTCCGAGGGCAAGCGGAGCAGAGCTGTGTACACAGCGCTGGAGGGCTACTGTGCTCTCAAGGTAAGTGATCTTGATAGGTACATTCTGACTGATGAGAGAGTTTGTCTCCTGAACTGTCACAGGGTTTATAGAGGTGCCACTCAATCCCGGTGCTGGAATTGCTTGTCAGAGCAGCTGCCTACAAGAGCAATGGGGATCAGAGACAGAACAGTAACTTTGTTTTTTCCCAGCTTAATGGCCCCAGAATCTGACCTGCATGCTCACTCTTGTTTGTCTGGACTTTCAAGGAGGCATCTTAGATTAAGAATGTCAGAGAACTATGCTGCTTTAGTTTCAGTAAAATTAGTTGTAACACCAAGGGATGAGTGTTATACAGACAAAATCATGCAGATAGGAGGCGTAAGGTGGCAAAATGCTGCTTTTATATTGGGGGAGTCAAATAAGACTTAAAACACAGTTTTTATGTTTGAATGAATCCAATAACTATCATGCATTTTCCTTATTCTGAGAAAAAAAGACTTTTCAGAATTGGCTTTCTTTTACTTATTGACACAACTTAGGATACTATTTAGGTATAGTGTTGCTAATTAATTGTTTAACAGTGCATTCATATTATATGCTCTGTTACCTTCTAGTCTGGGATGGTGATCTAAGTGGTGATCTAAGTGGTGATTTAATAAGAATTTTATTCTTATTAGATAGATTTAGAATATGTGATTATGGCTTTAAAGGGGAATTGGATAAATTCCTGAAGGATGGGACTATTGTCAGCTATCAAATGAATAAATATTCATTTCCAGAGTAATGTATCTTAATAGTAACTGCAAGGGGCCGTGCTGGAGTTAACACAGCACCACAGAGTTTATTAATGTTCTGGAGGTTATTGGTTGAAAATGAGATACTGAACTAAATGGATCCTTGGTCTGTTCCAGATAGTTATTCTTTGATGTATGTTTGGCAAGATTTAAAATAGTGAATACTAAAAAGGGGGAACGTGACATTGGAAAGAGGCAACTTAGCACTGACTGCCACAAATCTCCTAATTTGGTCAGTGCGAAGACTACCTCCGAATCTTTTCTCCCAGGCTATATCCTTAGAATGTGCAAAGTCATAAGAAAACCATTTGAGCACGGGATGCCTATTTGTCCATGAAACAACTCCCCCGTTTCCCCATCCTAAACTTAAGGAGTATAATTTCTAGAGTGGTTTTAGCCCTAGCTCAACTCTTCTTTTAAAAAACAAAGGGCCACCCTTTCTCTGAACCAACACCCCTTCACATTCTTGCCTTGAGAGTTCATGCCATTCTAGCTCTTGGGAAGTTTGCAGATTATAGTGGTATGGAAGAGATTTCTCATGATGGAAGAGGGAGCAGGAGAAGTGGGTCTGAGGGTAAATGCAGCATGAAAAAACAATACTTTTCTCTTTTTGTTGGTTGCAAAAAATAGAATTTTCAAAAAAGCAGTTTTCAACAAGCAGTCTAAATAAAAATTTATCCAGCCACTCTGTTAGCAGTGTTAACAATTGGTAAGCAAATCGCAGGTAAGGTAACTGACAGACCTTTCTATATAGACATTTTGTAAGATTCATGTCCATCTCATGCAGCTTGTCCTCTTTTAGACAGCCTCTTTCTCTTAGTCTTGGTCATTTCTCCAAGACTCAGATCACTAACAGTTGCACATATTATGCAAAACTCTGTTTCTCTTTCTAATGGTGCTTTACAAGTCTTCATTTAAATAATGTGTTCATCCTTCCCCTCTCCTTCAATAAGAGATAAATAAAGCAGGGAGATGAAGACATAAAACATGGAGGACAGATTGGCATTAACTGTTAAGTCTAGTAAGGTTCAATTAGTTAGAAGAGATGTGTATTCTCCCTTTCCTGAAATATGTTGCCTCAAGCAGTTATTTAAGTGTACTAGGGTTGTGGAGAAGGCAATAATAGAGAGACTTGGCAGACATTTTTGTTGGTCACCGTTCTCTCTCTTGGATTTTCAGCAGTCCACATATTGCGGGATGATACTTCATTTATGTCAAAGAGTAGTAGCTTTTAGATCCTTTCATTTCATCTCCATCTGCACACACAAATCAGGTGTGGCCCTGTTGGGTTGTTGTACTTTAAGAAAACATCCTATTTAATCCATTTATAACTGTACTTGTGTAGAAATCTGGTTTGAATGAACCAGAAATGAATAATTAATTTGAACCAGTTTAGACCTCAAATATTTAAACAGCTGCTGTGGTGTTTTCACTGCTCTGTAGTCAAGAAATGTGAATGAGTTGAGCCACAAGGTTCAACAAAAGCTTTGACCCTGTTCAAACCATCTTTAAGCACATCTTTATGCTGAGCACAGGATCTGTTTATGGGCACTTTCAGCCATGTGTATCATCTTAAGATGCTGTGGCCACAATGTTACCTTAGGCAGCTCAAGAATTAAAAGCTTTCTTCTCTTGAGTCTCAGTACAAGCTTAGAGCAGGGATCCATGACTGTTTAAAGCTGGTGGATAGGTATAGCTTATGTATCAAGTCTTCCCGTGGGTAGGACCTTATTTTGTTCCACACACTAAGAACTCTAAGCCACTTCTGCCATTCATAACACTCTGATGGAACATGAGAATGTTTTCTTAGAATTGATAATCTTCCTTTCTTCCAGAGTTGACCAGAAAGTGTGACGTGCTTTCTGAGGTTCTGTAATAGGACAAAATTTCACAATCTTTCAAAAGTAGACCTGCAGACATGTCGCCAGAACATTTGATTCAAATTGAGTAATGTAATGTTTTCTTAATTTGACTTGTTTTGGCTGCAGAAATTGTATGATTAGCAATGCAGTATTCATATAGAAGAATCAGAACATTATAGGAGGGACAACAGAGCACTTTAAGAAAGTAGCCTAGTTGTGAGTCTTGAGATGGAATTGAACAGATGTTTTGCAAAATCGTTCAGAAATTACCCTGTCTTCTGAATAACCATATCTTTCTAGCTAAATCCATAGCACTTTTAAAGAAATAAATAAATAAAAAAGAAAGGTGCTCACTGAGGAAAATCTGACCATAATCCTAAGTGTGGCTCCTCCCATTCTTCCAACAGATACTTGCTCACTGCACCTGTATGGCTTTTTTTAGAACAAGTAAAAATGAAGCAGTGGTCATGATCAATCATACTGTACACTGCACATCTTCTTCAGACTGAGTCCCTCCAGATGTTTTTGCCTATAGCTTCTTATCAGCCTCAGCTAAGAATGGCAAATAATTAGTAATGTGGGATATTGTAAGACAGACATTTAAGAAATTCAAGCAGAGGAAAGAAATCCTATCATTTCTGATAAGTTTCTTAAATGTATTTCTAAGAGATGCTAACATTCTGCATGCCAGATTTTAAAGTGTAATGACACTTAAGTTTCTCAGGTTTACTCTTGTCTGTATACCAAGCTTCCTGAGCACATGTGGAAAGTTAGGAAAAGGAGAGGCTTTGGAGCGTAGATCATAGTAGGGACATAACTAAGGGCCTGGCAGCAAATGTCCAAAAAATACAAATGAGTCTCCATGCCCAGTTGTTGCCCTCAATGACTTAAGAGAGCCTTCTTTTTAAAAAGAGCAGCCATTGCAGCCACTCTTCATTGCCAGAAGCTGCATCTCCACAGCCACGGAAGGAGGAAGAGGGAAACAGCAGCAGAGTAGGGAAGGTGAAATCCAGAGGCACTGGTTGGCTGGCAGCCCAGGAATCTTCTCCCACCATCCTGGCTACATGTGAACTAACTGTTGGCTTTATTCAGTATATGAGATTAGAGATCAATTACTTAAAAGTGGCTTGTTTCTCTTCATTTTGTGTCAGTGATAGTGTAGAAGTGAAGAAATAGACTTTTTGTTTCTAGATTTCCCCCATCCTCAGTTCTTGTTTCTATTGTGTATTCATACAGCCATAACTTCTGCTTTTGTGTTTGAGTAAAGTAGGCATAAAATAAGGGGTGGTGTATAGAACTTAACCTTTCAGATAGGAGAGGTTGAAAATAGGATATTGTTGGAGACCAATATTAATGTGATCTTTTATCTCTGCCTATGTGAATTTGCATTACCAGCCTTATTCTGTGTTTTGACTTTTTTAAAAAAAAATCTGCTTTTTGTCAGAGTAGTGTTAGTAGCCTGCAGAATGTCTCAGCCCCTTTTACTCTCAGTGTAATAAAAACTCAAAAAATACACATGAGTCTGTTGCTTAAGTAGAAACAAAAATATAGTTCTATTCACTGTAGATCAAAAACACAAAGCAAAACAAAAGAATTGTCCTCAGCAACATACAACAAACAATATCTCTGGTGAGTCTTCTTTATACAACGATATGCAAACATATAGCAAAATAATACAGTCTCTCTACTTAGTTATCAGTAGGATGTCCTTATCTTGCCATAAACACTCCAAACTGCTTCACTCTTCGGTTCAGAATGATGCGTAACTGCTCCCAGCAACAGCCAAAGGTTTCCTTAGTTTAAAACGAGCCATCAAGCTAAGCCAAAATGCAAAGCCCAAAGCTTGAAAACCTAGTTTCTAACACACCCAATTAACTTGTGGCAGCTGTAACAGAAAAGGTTCTGATCCTCCCTGTTACCTAGAAAAAGCCTGTTGACTTAAAAGAGAATAACCATGTTAGCTAAAGGATAAACTTTAGTAGGTATTCCAATTAAATGTCTATGTTGTTGAGTTGTTCATAATGTTTAGTATATATAGCATCAAATGTCTTTTGCACAGTCCAAAAAAAAATTCTTGCTTTATTTTTGAAAGCAATATTCAAGCTTTTATAGTTGCAGAGGAGTGGAATAATAATTGTAAAAGAATATCCAAATTGGAAATCAAGACACTAAATAGAATAAATTTTCATTGATTTGCTTTGCTTACTTGTTTGAGCCATATAATACTAGGTTTTCTGAATTCAGAATAGGAAATGTGAACACCGAATTCTAACCCACCCCCCAATATTCCCCAGGGATGTAGGAAATACTAATAATGAAACTGTGGAGAAAAATCCTCAGATAACTTGATCTGTTTAGTTTTTACACTTAAGCTCTAGTTCCCAAAATTATTCTACCTTTACCTTTTTATAGTTTGGAGCCATATTATTCTGTGTGATGATTATTGAGTGTTTGATTATGTCATCTTGATATTAAATGCAATCCTTTCTTTAAAGCATCTCCATCATATTGCACCTTGGTCCCCCTTGTTCTTTGTTCATTCAGATCTTTCTGAAATGGTTAAATCTAATAGTGGGATGGGGAAGTCTGACAATTCAGTTTTATGAAAGAATTAAAGATTATGACAGAAGTGGTGGTAGTGCCTGGAATTTGTTTCCTTAAAAACCCAAGCATTTAGTATCAGCTATCACTCCAATGTATGTATTTCCCACCTGACCATCTCCATTTGAAGTACAGGGAATTACTCCAAATTATATGCTATGCTAGGCTTATACCTCAATATTTCATTATGTTTTGTTCCTGCGCTTGCCACAGTAATTTCAATAAATCACAAGCCTGCTTGCACTTGCTTGACTGTGATATTTTGCAGTTGCATGATACAGTGCCAACATCTGAGAGACTTGTTATTCCCCACAATTACCTGTTTCCCAACTAGGTAGTTTGGAATGGAGGGGATAATATAAAAAAGATTTTTCATAAATCAAAATGCAGAATAAATTCTGTGTTCTTTTCAGATTTAAGCAACTCAAAATAATTTCAGCTAGTACTATTACATGCAACCCAGTACAATCTCATCAGACCCAAAGCAGGGATGGGCAACTATCAGGGACTTGTGGACTTCATTAGTCCCCCAGGAGACGCTGGAGGGCTGTACGTCAACTACACTGCACCCACACCCAAAACCACCCATCATGTTTTTGCTTCCATATTCCTGCCAGGGGTTCTGGAGCACCATGTTTAGAGAGCCCCTACTGAGATCATTTTAGGCCCAGAATAAACCTTTTTTTAAATGTTTTGTTTTTCTGTTTACTTTGTGCTTCTTTTAAAAATCACCTTGGCTTAAAATGGCCAAGGGGAAGACAAAATGCCTTTTTTGGTGCATTTTAAAGGGAAAAGATGACTCCTGGGAGCTCTAAGAATGACCTTATTGCTGTGCTTTGCTACCGTCGCCCTATAGCAGTGCTTCACAGAGTGATAGTCCTTGGAGCAGTGCTAGTCTCCAAACCATTGGTTCATTGTGGTTTGCCAGGAAAGAAGGAAACAAGTGTAGACCATGGGCATAAATATGGTGACAGGCTTTAGCAAATTGCAGAAAAGTAATTGTAGGTCCCACAGATCAGATAGCCTTGTTATAGAGGAAGGAAACTGCTGCAAGCCTGTGATGATATTGCTGTTTTTCTCCCAGAACCCCCATCCCTAACTTTGTATTCCTCTGTTTAGAACTAAGTATAGTGACATATGCTCTACACATTTTCTTTCCTTACAGGATCTGGGTTTGTCATGTGCAGCGGCAAGGAGAATCCAGACAGTGATGCCGATCTTGATGTGGATGGAGACGACACACTGGAATATGGAAAACCACAGTATCATTTTCTAGTTGTCCTAGACTCCCACTGTGAGGCTGTGGCTGAACCATTCAGATCCTTGGTGTTCTCCAAGGGTGGTGATACATGCACAGATTTGAAATTACTTAGTTCCTAAAGGTTAGGAGATCAGCACATATGTTGCATGTACTCTAAATCACCAGAGGGTAGAAAATACAGCTATATCTATTGGTAGTTCTCAGGATGATTTGGAATAGGTTGACAAGGATTTCACTGCTACTGATTTATAATAATAGCTATAAATTGTTCTTCTTTTTATCTAAAGTGAAATGTTAAAATCAGGAAATGTTTGTGGTACATTTTTGTGCAAGAGCTGAGAAGTCTATTGAAATACTCAGAAAGTATTTTTTACTTCTAAACATTTGTCCCTTTCACCAGGCATGGATTGATGGAATTGGGGATTTTAGCGGTTAGTAATTGGAGTTGATCAGTTAGTGCAGTGGTTCCCAACCTGTGGGCTGAAGACCTAAAATAAGGTCCGCGGCTCTAGGTTATTAAATATGGTTTTCTGTGGGTGAGCAAATGCCGACCTCTGGATAGCATATGTTCTGTGTCAGAAACTAGAGCTGATGTGGTATATCCAATGCAATGTTCTGAATCAGCACCCCAAATAACCAAACAGAATGTAAAGTTGACCAAAAACTGATTCATAACCCTTTTGGTACTAATGTTGGAGAGTGGTCCCTGGTCAAAAAAAGGTTAGGAACCACTGAGTTAATTATTCCCCCTACTTTCAGTTATTCCCTAGCACCTAATTTTCCTTGCTGTGGAGATGCAGTTTCCCTTTGGGCTTCTTTCAAGTGAACGTTCTTATCAGACAAATGTTTGTTTTTCATGCATTCATCTTGGGATTTCAAGTACCAATTGAAAGTTAGCCTTCACTATGTCAAATTATTATTATTTTTAAATAGTATTCTGTGATACAGTTATAATTGCATGCTGCTTTGGTTCTGTTATTCATTTCTCAGAGTTTATCTTGGCTTCTCTACCTTGATAGCTTGAAATAAACACTGAAGTGAAATAACTTTATATTAGCTTGTGCTCTTCCTTAACTCTCTATTCTTAGATATACAGAGGCAGATATCATTCCATGCACTGGAGAAGAACCAGGCGAAGCCAAAGAAAGAGAAGCACTTAGAGGTGCAGTCTTAAAGTAAGTGGATCTTTAAAAGTATTTATGGGGATGGAGGATGGTGCGTTACATAATCTTTTGAGAGATGAAGAGGATTTCTAAAGGTACATACCCTTTCAGTTCAATATTAGACACATGGCCAGGGCAGAGAAAGCTTGAGATTCAGGCACATTAGAAGAAGACAGTTAGCTATCTGTAAAGTGGTATTAAAAGTCCCCACTAGACACAATGAGACAGTTTTAATATTTGTTACCCTTTTCTGTGAAGTTTTCAGTGTTAACTGGATCATCTTGCTATTATTTGGAGCCTTCTGATCTAGAAAAAAACTAATTTCTCCTGTTATAGATAGCAATGAAAATATCAAGTATATATGTAACACAACATTAAAGAAGGATCTGTGGGTTGCATTTTGAGGTGTTTTTGGCAAGACCTAAATTCTGAATTTTCAACTCAACAGAGTAAGGCACAAGAAATACAAAGCTAATAGAACTATGCCGTGCAGGACATGTTAACTCTTTCCAGAAAATACAACTATCCTGTAGGTCCAAATCTACAATGCTTAGGATTCTAACTTTCATTTAACCCTTGCTACAGTTAAGGCAATCTTTTAGAAAACTGACTCACTTCTTCTGGTTTATAGCATGAAAGCCTAGAGTTGGATGTTAGTATACTAATCATTCCTCTGAAAGCCATTCTTTCAAAGGCCTTGTAGTAGCTGCATGTGCTCAGAGCAGCAGCAGAGCAAACAAAATGTTAAAGCATTTGGATTTCTGCAGGCATCAATATATTTCTTGATATGGGTAACCTTAGTAGGCCATGGTTCTTCTAATACTTGATTCTGAATTTTGGACTACTGTAAGCTGTCAGTTAGAGCTTTCCATGTGAAAGCCTCTAGGCAAATAACTGAATGGTTGTTAACAGGGAGCCAAGAAATGGATTACTTTTTCAAGCCCTCTGCCCTGTGTGGAAACAGCACTTACATCTCTTAGGCTGCATCAGTCTTGGAGGTCAAGGTTGAAAAGATTGATAGAGCAATGAAATGAAGTTTTCCTAGTGTTTAGCTCGTTTTAAGTTGTGGCCTGAAATCAAGTTTATATTTTTTCCAAGTGCTTAAATTCTGAAATCTGATCTGTTCTGTTAAAGTAGTGCTGTAAAACCAGCTATATGAATATTGCATTTATTTATACCCTATCCTAAGATCATTGGATCTCAGGGTGGCATACCATTTTAATATGTATAGAAATACGTTTTAATATGGGTGTTTTCACAGAAATACCCTTAATATGTATATTTCATAGAATGTTTACAGTGATTATGTATTTTAATTATGCTGTAACCTGTCTCAAGCCATGAGACGAGGAGAGGCGGTACGAAATAAAGTTCTTATTATAACTACTACTATTATCATTTACATCAGTCAAAATGATTTAAAACAATCGAGAATAATTTGAACAGACTAAAAACTCATCTAACAAAGAACAAAAAATAAAATCATGTGCACATATATTGGGATAGAAACAGACCTAAAGAATTCAATAGAAAGCTATTAACAATATTTTCTGTTTTTATATAATAATCTTTATTAAGGTTTTCTTAAAATATACAAGTGGGTTAAAATCATCATAGGGGATGATAAAGCTGGGCAAAGGGGAATATTTTCCTTGGCACCGGAATGAAATCAAGTGTCAGCACCACTCAGGGCCCCAAGGCATTCCTCAACTGGGCTGCCACAATAGAGAAGGTCCTCTTCCCACAGTGCTGTTGATGGGTCTCTTACATGCCATGAAAATGTCAATACTTGGGCAGGCATACATTGAATAAACTGCCTCTTCCAATTAATCAGGTCCCAAATGTAATTCCTTGAAAGTCATCACAAGCATCTTGAAATCAATCTGGGAGGATATTGGTACCCAGTTCAGTTCCTATAAACAGGTATGACAACCTGATCAGTCTTTATACAAACTTTGTAGCTGAGAAGGACTTTGCTTTACAGTACAGGGAGCCATAGATATACATGCTTTGTCTCAAATATTTGTTATGGTGTCAAACCAAATTGATTTCTAAATTGTATATAAATGATAAAGCCTTTTAATTGATAGGTAGAAAGTATGCCAAGCAATGTTCTTATGTCATCCTTTTCACTGTTGTTTGTTTCTTTTCCCTCAGTGGTGGCACGCCTAGTACCCGGATAACACCAGAATTTTCTAAATGGGCAAGTGATGGTAAGTGCAAAATATATATGCAGCAGGTCTACTATACCTTGGTCAGGCAGGCACTTGGAGGATAGGTACTTGAAGGACAGTAGTGAGTGTTTCAGGGAACAGTTTTGATGTGATTCCTGTGGCAGCATTTTGTTTTTCCTGGATAATTCTCTTACACAACATCAGCCACATGAAGCACTGAAGTAAAGAGTCTTCCAATCATTGGGTATTGTAGGGAGAAACTTTGCAGCCTGTCAGTTTGTGGACACAGAGATGGATTTGCTGTTTTGTTTTTCTGGCATGGTACAGCATCATCACCTTTCTTCATGGTGGTGGTATTGATCTTCAATATTCTGTAATATTCTTTCCTTAAGCCTTGTTTATAACAATTTTAGAAAAACCTAAATATAACTTTGGTGGCTTTCTTTGCTTGTTTAGTTTAGAGATCTGGCATGACTTTGTGATTCTTATGAGTACATAAACATCTGGCGTGGAAGCACACATTTCTTCCTGATGGCTCCATGAATAATTATCCCAGAATCCTGAGTGCAATTTGGCAGAATTGTCAAGAAGCAAATTGCACATTGAAACTGTTTGCTGAATCTATATCACTATTATTAGTTGCAGTCATTCTGTGTCCAGAAACTAAAATGCAGTTTTTAACTGACTAGGTGCTTTAATTATAGGTGCCCAGTTATTGTTGCACAGGAGAAGATAATTTGATACATTGAGGGCAGTGTTCAGAATTTGGTTCCCTAATCTTATAATTTTCTGTTGAATAATCCATGGCCCTATAATTTCCAGAGGAGCTTTGTGTAATATAATTTCTGCAGTTCTAGTCTACCGGGCCAGTCATTAATGTATCTTGACTAATTCTGCACCATCTGTCATCTTCGGACTGTGCATTTGGGATAGTTTTCTCTTTGGAACCAACATTGGAACTGTTAACTCACTTTTGCATTTCACTCAAAAAGTCTGTGAATAAATCCTGCCCTATTACTCTTTTGTCACTGACCCTGGACTCTTCTGGGTTTTGTTTTTGTTTTGTTTTTTACAGAAATGCCATCAACAAGTAATGGGGAGAGCAGTAAACAGGAGCCTATGCAAAAGACCTGCAAGAACAGTGACATAGAGAAGTGAGTATCTATTTTGTAGTAGAATGTAAAGAGAAATCGACAGGAACCTTATTTTAATTTTAAATTGTAGATGTCTTTATTTGTTAGCCACCTTGCAAAAAGAGTTAAAATGCAAATAAAAATTAGTAGGAAGCAGAAGCAGCAGTTGGGATGACCTTTGCTTGTGGACCTAAGCCTTATAGTGAGGAGTGCAACATTAGAACAGGCTACTTGAAGTAGAGTCAGCAAAGTTCAAAGTCCTGCTCTTCTTGGTTAACACTTCTAACCAAATTCATCACACCAGGACATTCTTTGCCTGTCTCAGCCTCCTTCACTCGTATACCAAGGAATTCAAGTCTAGAATTATAGAATTCCTGAGACTTCAAAGGCAGAAATTAAGAGAGCGGTATTAAGGGGCAGATCATGGAACAATTAGTCATGTACGCAGTTTGAGTTAGTTGTGTTAACATGTACTAGCTTCTGTTGCTGGATTTTGCCATTTTTTCATTCATTATGTAGCAAGGTGCTAATGCCATCTTCCATGAGAATAAGAGAATTCAGTTTTGGTTTGCAGTTTCTATCAATTGCATTAATTTGTGACTCTGTAGTATTTTTGCCCCATATCTTACAGAATAAAGCTTGACGTTTCTCGAAACACTTGTCCAAATGATGAATTGATATCATCTTCATTATTAGATTATTTCAAAAGCTTTATTCAGTGCATCTTGTGAGACCCCAAACTTTACCCAAGTGCCTTGTACAGTAATTCAGTGTTGTGAAATATGTCTCTGCTCCTTCATTGTGGCAAGCCATGACCCGCTGTGGAGCATTTAAAACTCTCTTGACTTCCAAAGTCAAAAATTACACATTGGCTCTCAACCTCCAAATGTCAATTGCCATATTTTTTTCACTGGATAGCATTTCTATCTTAGTTGATAAGAAATATCTTGAGAAAATGATCTCTGCCTTTTAGTTAGATGCTCTTGACTTCCACAGGGGAAAGAAAACAAGAATGTTTAGAAACAAAGGTTCCCACTGTGCTGTCTTTTCCTTTCTCCTCAGGGATTTCTATGTGATAAATAGTTTGTGTCGTGATGGTTAAGGAGCTAAAATGCTGTGTGGGAAGAGGAGGGCTCTGTTAAGTTAATTGATAACTGGGATCAGACCTTGGGGCCTGACAAAAGGAAGGTGGTTTTTATTCATACTGTCTAGCTGCTACAACCTGCACTGCCAAGGCATGATATATGGTGACCCAGCCCAGCTAGCTAAATTGATTCATCTCCAGTTCCTGGTTCTTAATCTGGAGCTAAATTGGTTTCATTTTTCTTGTTTTGGGTGGTGCTTGTGGCAAGCACTCTGTGGGATCACTTCCTTCTGTTCATAACTTTAATTTTTGCTTTTAAATCTGGGCATTATTGATTAGTGTGTTAAGCTTCATGTAACGTCTGATTAGCATTTTAAAAAGTGTTTAGAAGCACATGGTTTATCACCTGTGTCAGCTGGGCTGTCCATTTAGAACAATGGTTAATGGAGTTAGCAGTGATTCTCTTTATTGATCCTACTTTTATAAGAATGACATTCATTTTCTCTCCCTTTCCAAAACAAAGCCTGGGCATGGAGAGTATCTTTTTAATTAGCTAATACAATACAGTAAACTGTCCTTGTTTTGGCACACAGCTAATGTACTTGGGTTGAAAGTTAATGGAATATGTGCTTCAGACTTCTTGTAGCTGAGTCTCTTGCATGCCAAGCAACTTGCCTTGGCTAGAGAGAGATTGAGAGAGAGATGTGTTTGGCTGTCCCTCCTTTGTATAATCTCAGATTTAGACTGCCAGTTTCTCATGTAGACCATCTCTTCCAGTTTGTGTTTGGAATCCATGTGACAACATGCCATTAGCCTACTTCAGTCAAAAATATGGGTTATCATCACATTTGAACTGGGCCACGGTGTCACTTTTTTGCTGTATGTGAAAGGTTCCATGATTTATAACATTGAATATATTTTAAGTTAACTTCTTCTTTTTTAAGAACAACCCTGGAGTTTAATTTGCCTGTTGTTACAGAAGAACAGTATGAAAAGTGATTAATGAAAAGCTTGGTTCTAGAAAGCTACTCAGGATGCAGTTTTGCTTCTAGCCTTTTCTATTTTTACTTATGGCAACATCCTATAAAATCCTTGCATATGTCGTTTACATTTGAGGCATTTGAACTCTCTGGCTGAGAGTTTTAAGATTCCCTTTGCTAAATGGCAAATCCCATTATTTCTTTGAATATTGCCATGGCAGTTAAAGCAGAATATCCCATTATATTGAAAGGCCTCCTCTAGAGATGTACAACTAAACAGCAACAACACCCCTGTTGATCAGTGTAAATGCGTAAAGGAAGTCCAGTGATTCCAAAAATCCAAGAGTTCATTTAAGGCTCAGGTAATCCAGCACACAGATCGTGTCAGTATGCAATGACTGCAAGGGTAGAGTAGGAAGCCAGAAATAAAGCTTTGGTATGAGACCAAGAGACAAATTAGTCAGCCCATTTGTCCAGCTAGGTTAGTTGTCTGTATTGACCTATGGTGATTCTTTATGGTTTCAGGTAGAGACCTTCATCAGCACTACCTGAACATGTCAGAGACTGAATTTGTTCATGGTGCCGTATCGTGGAGATTTATCTTCTTCAATATATAAGTGCAGGGAGGTAATGCACAAGCAAGCTACTGGAATTAGCTAGAGCTGTAGTTCTTGAAAACCGAACTTTTGTGAGAGTAGTGTATGACTCTTGAACTTCAGCTTGGAATCTGTGCCATAGCCCTTCCACTTTGGAACTGAAATGCAGTGCATTTTGTTCTATGGTCTGAAACAGTTCCTTCCTTGAAACAGTCTCTCTCTTTCTCTCTCTCCCCTTTCTGACAGCTTTAGAAAGTAAATGAAAGCTGGGTGTGATATTTTCTTCTTGTCAATGCCTTCATCAACCTTTCCTCTCCCTTTTGGCCCTTCTCTTTCTGTGTTATTGGTCCCTGAATCTTATCAGCTGTATGAGCCCACCTGTCTGCTGGCTGCAGAAACTAGGCTCCCTCACTTTTTCTTCCTGAAGACGTAAGCCATGCAGTCTGTGCCATCTTGAAATCAAGGCTTTCTGGGGTTAAGAAGCCAGCCTCTTAATTCACAGTGCCAATGTTCAATTTTGCTTTCTGCCACCAAACTAGATTGCAGGCCATGGAAAGAGTCTGGGTTAGTGCCCCACTGGGTCACCTCCCATTTGTTTTCCTCAATTTTGTGTTGTCATAAATTCATTCCAGTCCGTTGTGCTTGATCAGTTTATCTCTGTTGGGGCAGGGAGCCCTGCTAGCATGATATATGACATGAAACATTGTAGCCAGCCTCTCCATGAATCACTCCAGCTGTTTGTTGTCAGCATGAAAAGCAAACAGGCTGGGGCTGCCGAGTGTTGACTAGGATGAGCTCAGGATGGGAAGAGACATGACGTATGAATGTTTATTTAATAATTCTTTAATATTTCCAGCCGAGTGTGGCTCTGCCTTCCGAGGTTGTGGGGGGAAAGGGGGGCAGTTGAAGGGGAAACTCTAATCTGTCAGGGCGAGTCATAAATCAGGCAGACAAGATCATTAATCAGGATGGAGCAAAACTAGAGGGAGGTGGGACTCTGGCTGCCATTCCCAGGAGCAAAGGGACACACTTTTCTTTTCCATAAAACAAATCTCATTTGGGATGCGGCTCTGACTGCGCCGCTTACATAAGAGCAAAGCCAGGGCACCAGGCCAGTTAAGCAAGCGTGTGCACCACCTTTGTCATGAGCCTTGGCAATTTGCGCTCACCAAGCATTAAATCCCTTTATAATTATCTTCTTTATATAACTCTTCATGCCGCTCATGGTTGATTGGGCAAGGTGCTTATTTGGTTTAGAAGAGGGTTTTAGAGGAGAGAGGTCAGTGCGTGTATATGTGTATGCACAAACACACGTGCGGGCACATATGAAGCATTTCTTAAATCTATTCCAAATGTTAAAGCTGAGAATATCCTGAACAGTAATGCAATATAGAATTTCTGATGCAGAATTAGAGTTCTTAAAGAACAGGAAGCTTCTGGCTTCTATAATTTCACTTAAAAACATCAAATGACATTGCTATCCTTTTTGAATGTGGAATGATTGCAAGAGGTCATTTCAGCCCAAATAGCTGTCTACCCAGATACATGTGCAGTTCTAACAAGTACCTCATGAAGGAGCCAACCAAGAAATACATCACCTCCCTCTACTACAAGGAGGGGAAAGTTGTTCAAGGTAGGGGAGCTGCTGTATGCGCAGCTTGAAATGGCTAATCGATTCAGTACAGGAATGGGGAATATGTAAGTCTGTGGAAGTTGGCGAAGTAGAGCTTGCACCATCCATTCATGTTTACTGTGGCTAGTAGGAGTTGTAGTCCAGCAGCATCTAGAAAGCCATACACTTGCATCTTGGACAATCAGAAAAGAAAAGAGGTACAATAGGGTGATGTTCCATTTGTGAAAGAGTAAGTGACAAGCCTCTGCCATCTGTTTTCATAAACATTCTTATTTAAAGCCCATTTTATGGCCTCAGTTGACCACTCATAATACCCAACCTCAGACATTTATGTGCTTGGTTTATTCACACTATAGTCCTTTGCCAAGGATCAGTAAACCTCCATATGTAGGAAATATTGATGTAACATACATAATAAACTATATAGCTCTAAGCAAATATATGTGTTCTGTAATTATTTTGTTTCCAATAGCATTTGGATTTTGTCAGGAAATATAGATAAAAGGGATGGAATGAGAATATATTTTCCACGCTTAGTTACTAAGTAAGCCTCTGTAGAAGTGTGAAGTGTACAAAATGTGTTTTCAGGGAGTCATAGATCTTTTAAATGTTGTTACTGATTAGTATCCATGAACAAAATTAGATTTCTTTGTGTTTGCTTGTTTGCTGACTTTATTTATCTCCCCTTGGGGACTGAAGGCAGCTAACGATCCCACATTTTGGTCACA